GCGCCGCCATCAACTCGCTCTTCATCCTCGCGTGGTCAGCTCTCTGCTCCTTGCGTCTGTGCATAGACCTGACATGCGAGCTGACTGAGCTCGCACCGGTCCCGCAGGTACTGCTTCTCGACCCTCATCTCGCTGTACAGTGCGCCTTGTCCCCCACTTGCCTCCCCTCTCTCTCTCCCTCTCGCGCTGACCCTCTCGCTGCCTCCCCCACCCCCGCACACGCGCACGCACACGCACGCACGCAACAAGACAAGTGGATGTTCTCGGCCGACCACTACAACTTCCCCTACCCGCTCTTCGTCACCTCGGTCCACATGCTCGTCCAGTGGTGCCTCTCGGCCCTCACCCTCAGCGTCTTTCGCTCCCTCCGCCCGCAGACCAAGCCCCGCTCAAGAGACTATGCGTGCGTCCGCGCTCTCTCTCTCGCGAGTGTGCGTGCCAGCGCTCTGAGCTGATCCATGGCGAGCGGTCCGCGGCACCCGCGCAGCACCAAGGTCGCGCCGTGCGGGATGGCGACGGGGCTCGACATTGGCCTGTCCAACCTCAGCCTCCGCACCATCACCCTCTCGTTCTACAGTGCGTCTCACCCTCGGTCCTGAAATCGCCCCTCCCCCTCTCCACGGAGACGCGCGCAGCTGACCCTCCCTCGCCCCCCCCCCCGCCTCGTCCCTGCACCACACCAGCCATGTGCAAGTCGTCGTCGCTCGCCTTTGTCCTCATCTTTGCCTTCCTGTTCCGCCTCGAGGTCCCCTCGTGGCGCCTCGTCGGCATCATCCTCATCATCACGTCCGGCGTCGTCCTCATGGTCTCGACCGAGACCCAGTTCGACCTCGTCGGCATGCTCCAGGTCCTCTCGGCCTCGGCCCTCGGCGGCCTCCGCTGGTCCCTCACCCAGCTCCTCCTCCACAAGGAGTCGATGGGGATGAACAACCCCGTCGCGACCCTCTTCTGGCTCGCGCCCGTCATGGGCGCCACCCTCGCAACCTGCAGCCTCGTGTTTGACGGCTGGGGAAACGTCTTTGCCCACGACGAGTTCTGGGGGTCCCTCGGCGCGTCGCTCCAGACGACGTGCGCCATCGTCTTTCCGGGCGTCCTCGCCTTCTTGATGAACATTACCGAGTTCGGGTGCGCTCCCCTCTCTCTCTCTCTCTCTCTCTCTCTGTGCCCCACTCTCACGAGGAGGCCAACCATCCCCTGACCGATCCACCCCCCTTACTCCGCCCGCCCTCGCTCCACCCGCCCTTGCTCCACCCGCCCTTGCTCCGCCCGCCCTTGCTCCGCCCGCCCTTGCTCCGCCCGCCCTTGCTCCGCCCGCCCTTTGCTCCGCCCGCCCTTTGCTCCGCCCGCCCGCCCGCCCACCCGCAGGCTCATCCAGCGCACCTCGGTCGTGACCCTCTCGGTCGCCGGCATCTTCAAAGAGGTCATCACCATCTTCCTCTCGACCGTCCTCTTCCACGACCAGCTCACGCCCATCAACGTCTCGGGCCTCTGCGTCACCATCTTTGGTGCGTCCACTTGCCCCCCCCCCCTCTCTCTCTCTCTCTCTCGCTCTCGGGCGCGCACACACTGACGAACGAGGCCCCGCTGAATGAATGAATGACGGGCAGGTATCGCCCTGTACAACTACCTCAAGTACCGCCAGTTCACGCACGCCGCCGCCGCCGCACGCGCGCGCGGCGACGGCGACGGCGACGCGACAGAGACGGGCGCCGACGACGACGACGACGAGGGGCGGTACCGCGCTGTGGGCGGCGGCGGCGGAGCGGAGGAGGAGGGGGAGGGCGCGCCGATGCTGCCTGTCTCGCACGCGCACGCGCACGCGCGGAGGGGGTCGCTCCGGAACGGCAACGGCAGCGCGGGCGGGGACGCCAAGTCCGCGCCGCACCATGCGCTCGGGTCCGCCTCCTCCTCCTCCTCCGGCGACGACGACGACGGCGGCGGCGGCGCGCGGCGACGGAGCGGGCGCGGGAGCGGCGACTCGCGCTCGATGTCGTCCTTCGAGGACCTCGACGCCCAGGCCGCGAGCCTCCTCGACGAGTTTGACGTCGCGGCGGCCGAGGCACACAGTCTCTCGCGCCTCGGCGAGCGCGACAAGGCGAGGCAGCATGCGGCGGACCGGATCGACGGGCTTGAGGAGGCGGTGAGGACGGGGGCGGGGGCGGGGGCGGGGGCAGGTGCGGGTGCGGCGGGCGGGTTTGGGGACGGACTCGACGGGCTCGACGAGCTCGAGAAGGAGAGGAGGGAGCTCGAGCGCGTGTTTGACGACGAGCGGAGGAGGCGCGAAAGGAGGGACTTGCTCGGCGATGATGACGACGAGCGGTAGTGGCGGTAGACGGTGTGGTGTTGCGCTGTATTCTCCCTTTGGCGCTCTCTCTCTCTCGCACTCGCACTCTCTCTCGTTGACGTTGACGGGGTCCGAAGGGGGATGCGGAGGGAGGACGATGCGGAGTGGAGGGAGGGGAAAGACATGCGAGCGACAAACCAGAGAGGAGAGGGCTAGAGCTACAAGGGGCCCGGCTGGGCGTAAAAGTGCGCCATCGTGGCGCGCACAGCGGGGAAGGCAATGTTGAAGACGGGGTGAGCCGGCAGCTGCGCGAGCGAGCGTCAGGCGGGGGGTCAGCTCGTTCATGCCCGCGCTCGCGTCGGTGCGCTCTAGGGACAACGCACCAATTCGTTCGCAGCGTCGCCGTAGACGACCTTGGCGCCTGGCCGCGGCTGCCACGCGAGCGACCTGCTCCACACCTCGCGCATGCGCACCTCGGCCGCCTCGTCCGACTCGCCCTCGCCCCGGACCACCTCGACGTCGTCGCTGCTGCTGCTGTCGTCCTCGTCAACAACGGTGGCCGCAAAGGGCGAGACGAACGCCTCGGCGAGCTCGCGCTGCAGGCGGCGGGACACGCGAGGCTTGTGCTGCGCCGATGCCGCGCCGGACAGGTTGTAGCACGTGTGGTACGCGTCGGCGGGCTTGCCCGGCTTGTCCCGCAGGCCGCCCGCTGGTGCTTGGGCAACGAGCGTGATGTACTGCTGCAGTCCCTCTGTCACGATCGCGTGCGCGAGACAGGTGAGCGAGTGGACGGGCACGTGGGAGAGAGCAGGACGGGACCCACTGCGGTCGTACAGCTCGCGCTCCTCCTCGTCCTCCTCTCCGTCCTTGTCCGAGCCTGCCGCCCGCTCGCTCAAGAGGCTCTCGACGATGGGGAACAGGCCGCCGCACCACCACGAGTAGCACCCGTCGACGAGCTTGTTGGTCCTGCCGCGGAACCCGCCGCCCTCGATCGGCATCGCCTGCATGCTCGCGCTCCAGCGCAACAGCGCGCGGACGTCGAGTTCGGAGCGCGCGAGGTCGATCGGTGCCTCGGCGAACGCGGGCGAGGCCGTGTCGGAGAAGACGCGCAGCATGGACCACGACGCGGCGGCGCAGAAGGCGTACCCGCCGTGGGCCTCGCCGAGTGGGGCAGGGTGCGACGGGTCCTGCGAGAACGGGTGGGCGGAAGAGGCGAGGCCGCCCTCGTACGTCTGGCACGAGGCGATGAAGGACGCTGTGCCGGCCGCGAGATCAGGCGTGAGGATGTTGAGCAGCGTCGCGACCGTCAGAGCACAGTAGCAGCCGCTGGTGGCGGTTCGTGATGGTCAGCTCACGAACCTCTCTCGCAGCGGGACGGGTCGTCAAGAGAGCACAAGAGGAGAGGCGCACCGGACGTCAACCTCGCCGCCGTCGTGCATGATGAAGGAGCCGTCTGGTTGCTTGATCGACATGAGGAACCGGTACATGCCTTGCCTGGTAAAAGAGCGAGAAGAATGTCAGCATGCCGCGGTGGGGGAGCAGGGCACCTGCGAGCGAGGCCTCTGCACGCACCGGTCAATCGATTTCCACCCTGCCTCGCCGACGTACGCGAGCGCGCACACGGCCGCGTAGCTCGGCGCAAGGTGACTGATCTGTCCGGGGCCACCGCCGAATCCGCCGTCCGGGTTCTGGCAGTGCCTGAGAGTCTCGACGACGCGCTCCTTGGCCTGGGTGTCGAGCTCGCCGTCAAAGAGCGCGAGCGAGTGCATGGTCCAGTACAGCAGCCATGGTCGCGAGGCGTCGAGGCCGGTAAAGTGCTTGGGCAGAGGGACCTTGAGGAGGCGAGTGAGGTAGGTCGAGTGCGAGTCCTTGTGCAGGAGCGGATCCACCGAGGCCTGCAGGTGCTCGGTCAGGAGCGACGAGATGACCTGCTCGGCCTCGTGTTGCAAGCGGAGAGTCTCGGACGTGGGCACGCCGTCGGACGGTGTCGAGACCCACGGGGCGGTGAGGACTGCAGCCTCCAGAGTCGAGGTGGGGGTGAGGAGAGGGTCAGCTTGATGGGTCCGCGGGGCGGGTGTGAAGCTGCTGAGGCGGGTGGTGCGCACCAGAGTCCAGTGTGGTGGCCATGGCGGTCGACTCTGGGGCGGCCCTGGGCGATGCGGAGTGAGGCGGAGAGGAACAAGGTTGAGCGAGGCGATGCAGGCTGAGGCGCGCGCGGGGTTGGGCAGCCACGCCCGCCGCGGCGAACAAAGGGCGCGTGCGGACAAAGGGGAGCGCGCGACCTCACGCTTCAGGGGAGGCACTCCTTTCTTCCGAGTCTTCGAGCTGCTTGATCGAGCTCTCGGACGCGTCTTTCGCAGGCAGAGGGAGCAGTCATGAACGCAGATCGACGCTCTCCGCCTCACGAGTGCTGCAGACCTCGACGCACCTGTCCGAGGCCTGTCTCTCGCGCACCTGGACATAGTGAGAAGCCCGACCAAACCTTGACGGCAAGCTCTTGGCAAGCTCCCTATCTCGCTCGCTTGCCAGCTCGTACGGGAGGAGCTAGCACTGACCTGTGCCGTGCTGCTACAGGCACCAGAGTGCTGGGAAGGACCTGGTGGGGCGGACTGCGAGGGAGCGCACAGACCCCTTGGGGAGGGGGCTCTCCGGAGCTCCTCGCGGCGGCCCGGGGTCGAGAGTGGCAAAAGGTTGCGAAGGGCACCAAAAGAAGTGACGACCAGAGCAGGATTTGAACCTGCGCAGGCAAAGCCTAACAGATGAAGCAAGGCAACTCGCAGAGAGTGCGTATTCTAGTCTGTCCCCTTAACCGCTCGGGCATCTGGCCTCATACAAGATAAATAGCGCCCCGTTGGCATTTTTATTGTGCATTGTCAAGCTGGCGGGAAGAAGAGGGCCAGAGTGTGCCAAGCCAGGGCAAATCTCGTCTTGACCGGTGCGGGTGGGTCAAAAAGGTTGCCTCCAGCTGTGAAGCAAAAGAAACTGCATTGGCCGGGAATCGAACCCGGGGCTAGGCAACTCAGCGGAAGCTGGCAATGCCCAATTTTGCCACTAAACCACCAATGCTTCACGTGATTTTTGTGGCCTTTAGTTGGCAACAAATCGCGCCCAACGTTCAAAGTCGGAGCAAGCCCACCTGCTCTGGGTTCTGGTGCAATGGTCAGACTCCTCAAGGTGTTCCTCAGGGCTGTGATTTGGCAAAGGCAAGAGCAAGCCAGCTCTTCCCCCTCTGTTCCCCTTCCCGCTCAGCCTTTTCCTCTTGCCCAATGCTGTCGCTGGTTGTCTGTGACTGGTTCTTTTCCTTGGCAACACTCTCTTCAGCCTGCGCACCTCCTAAGGATACCTGCAGCGGACGGCGCCACTGCTGCCAAGGGGAGTCGCGGACAGAGGGGAGAGCAGAGGATGATGCGCAGCAGGGTTGGACATGCGTGGCTGGTGTGCTCAAGTTGCCCAGTCTCCTCCAGCTCATGCACTGAGGAGGACAGGTTTGCCCAGACACTCTCTCCTGTAGCTCTTGGCAGCTCTTGAGCTCACACCCTGAGGACAATCGCCTGCATCCCACAGAATGTGGTCCAGCTACAAGTGATTTTGTTTCCCGTCTCCCAGCAGTGCTCTGTGCTGGTACGTCCCGCCTGTTCACTACTCTGCTGTTTTCCCATTCAAGCGGGGCAGAGGGGGGAAATTGAGGGGAGGGTGGCAAAGGCAAGAAGGGATCACTCCTACGCAATGCAAAATGATGGGGGTGTTCGATCCCTGTTCAAGCACTGCTCACCAAGGGTTGTTCAAAGCCGCTTCAATACACCAAATCGAAGGGGGGGGGGGGGGGGGTTTGACCACCCCGGTTCGACCAGCAATCGAACCAGGGTCGACCGACACCAGGCCTGTTCAACGCCCCCCCCCCTTGGTTGACCCCTTGTCAACCCACCTTCAACCAGTGCTCAAACAGGGCATTGAACAGGCCGCCTTTGACCTCTAATCAACCAGGGTCACTTCGACCAGCCCGCTTCCAGCTCTGCTGGACCAGGGCGTCGAATCGGGGCTCTGCCACCACTGCTTGAACCACCCTCTTCCACCCCTCATTGAGTACTGCACAATCCACCCCCCTTGGACGTCCTGCCACACCACTGCTGCCTTGTCACCGCCTTGCCTCGCCTCGCGCCCTTCTCAAGTCCCCCTCGCCTCGCCTCTTCCCCGTGCTCCAACTCCGCGTACCTCGGCACTATAGAGCACATGCTACTGTCTAGTCGGGCAAAACAACGCACTGTGCAGTGATCAGCTGTTGAGTCTGCGCGCAGAGAGAACGAGCTGAGGGGGACGTTGAGAGAGTCAAGGGGGCGAGCAGCAGTACGACACGCGCGTCAGCTCAGATCAAGGGAGGACAGCGGGAAGGGAGAGAAGGGCGTACCTCTACATAGAGTGAGAGTCATGCGCTGCAGAAGAAGCAAGGAGAGCAGGGAGAGCGGGCAGAGTGAGGAGAGCGTGTCAGCTCGAGGCTCGAGGAGGCACCGAGTTGCACAGAGCACACCGCACAGCCTCATCACCACCTTACACAGAAAGCTCGTACACACTGCTATCACAGCTGAGGAAGAGAAGAGAGACGCACTTGGGGAAGTCTGCAGGTGGGGAGCTGGGGTGGGATGCAAGGCGAGGAGGTCAGTGCGAGCGCGCGAGGCGGCCCAACCTTGGCAAGAGAGCGCATCAGAACAACACACCACTTCATCCTGCACTGCTATGAGGTGAAGGAGGGGGGCTAGGCATGCAGGAGAGGCTCAGCTGCTTGTCCAGCAATGGGAGAGTGGGCGGAACCGCGAGGGGACAACAACGCACCTGAGCTTGCCCGCCTCGCAGATCGGTTGCGGCTGCTGTCCCATGCGGTGCAGAGTGTGTCAGTCGCGCAGATGGAATGGGGGGCAAGCCCACAATGCATAACGCAAGGCCACCCCTCCCCCGCGGGTGAGGACCGTGCTCTCAATGCGCCCCTGCCCGGGTAGGTACGACGTGACAGGTCGCGGACAGCCCTCACGGAGGTGCAGGGCACACCTGGGTCAGTAGCCTAGAGTGGGTCACACTGCCGCGCGCGGGGTGAAGCGGGCTGGACACCACGCGCGAAAAGCTGTGACGAGAGGGGGAGAGGGGGAGGGGGGGTGGGTATCTAGTACAGACTACGATGGGCGGTGACGGTGGGGTGCGGGTGACGA